TCAATCGATTTTTGCGCATCGCTGATTACTGGTTCACACTGGACTCGCCTCGATACTTGTGATGACTGATCTACTAAGCGTGAATTGGCAGTCAAATCAGTTAATCAGTCAATCGATTTTTGCGTACCGCTGATTACTGGTATGCGCCGGATTTGTGGTAAGCGCTGGCAGAAACACACTTCATCAATGAGGCCTAATGAACGGACGCAGCAAGCAACTGGCTCCCGATTCAGCTTCTACAATTCCTTCTTGCTATAGTAAAGAAGTCGTCCCATCAACTCGGTCTTGCCTGCTTTGATTTGGGGAAGCCTTCTGTGGTCGATGCCATAACTTGCGACACCTGCACCTACGTGTGCCGCCAAAGCCCCCCTCCTCCCTCATGTTCGGCATTTGTTATAGGAGCGTGGCTCGAATAACGCCTGTCATGCCCTGATCTGGCCGCCGTGTTCGTGCAGCCCATCTTTCACACGGCCCTTTTAGCGGTCATAACACAAGTCTATGACTGTCAACTTTGACGCCTTTAGAAGTCTGGACAATCCGAAAGCTACAGCCCCTTAAGAATACCATGGTGCTGGCGAATGTTTGTCCGGGAGGACTGACAATAACACTATTCCTTATAGTGGTTTTGCATAATGCTACGTCTGGTTCGCGGGAATATCCTGCTTTAGTGTACGTACAGCATAATATTTGAGGAATTTTGAGGCCTAACAGCAGACTAACGGCCCCACGTATAACCCATTATTTTGTGTAGGTCAGGGCATCTCACGAAAGCTAAATGCAACGAAGTGGAATATTCTCATCGCAAACGGTGCACATTAAATAGATTGTAAACCTCTGTGACTTAACAACTCATTCAATTTCAAAAGATATGCGAGTTTCTGCCCAGGCAACTTAAAGCACGTGAGCAATATAACACGCAAGGCTGCCAAACGAAGACCAGAACGTCGCGGTGTTAGCGCAGTGTGACCTTACGTTGCACGCTTGCCAGTACTGCAAGCCAATTTTGGTTAATCTTTAGCACGTAAAGCAGACATTTTGTCTGTGGTTTTGGAGGTGTATGTTAGAATTCTAGGCGTATTGTCAACAAAGAGCTCTGGTGTCCTTTTAGGAACACTTGCAACAGCGGATCAACCGTTGACGTTGAGGACGTGGGACCTTTGGCTCTTTCCAAAAAATGCTAACTCAGGCGGATAAGGAAGTCAGTTCAGTTCAGCCAAAGTCTGCAGAATCAAGGGAAGCTTACTAAAAAAAATGCTGCAGTTATCAGTCAGTTATCTCAGCTTTATTGTGCTCTTGTTGCGAATGCATGCCTTTTTAGTAGAATGTGCATAAACTGGAATTCTTCGGCAGCAGATGTGAGCAGAGCTCTTCAAAACTGCCACATATACTTCTCGGACGATATATGCCATCGTCTCTTAAGGTCCTCCAATTCATCATGTCACTGTCAGTGAAAATGGCCTAACCTAACGAGTTATATTGTCAGTTGACCCATTTGCAAAAAATCCGCGGCCTTAGTGGGAGTCGAACCCACATAGCAGACAAGGCTTTGCGCAGCCAATGGTCTACCCGCTCAATGACTTACTACTGCCTGGGCAGTCAGCTTACTGTATGTTGGATTTCATACGAGTGGCAAGTTGGGCGGGTAAGACGATCCAAGTGTGATTAAATTCACGGCTCGTGGTGAGCCTCGTAGCTCAATGGTAGAGCGTTGGCTGCACAAATAGCCTTCCCTGTTGTGTGGGTTCGACTCCCACTGAGGCTGCGAATTTTTCACAATTGGGACAACTGAATTATTCAAGTCTACCAAATCCTCCTAATAAACAAGTTATATGTCACAGCATGTAAGTTAACTTCACATATTAAAAATGTCGCTCCTAA